TGAGGGTGCCCTGCAGACCTAGGCTGGCCTGAGGCTTGGCAATGCCTGGGCACCTGCCCCATCCTCCAAGGCCAACACATCACCTGGTACATCTTCCCTGATGATCCCATCCCATAAGCAGACTAGCTAAGACACCCGAAGAGGGGTTCCAGCTTTCATTTAGGAGACCACGGCTGTTGGGTGCTCCCCCCCACCCACACACACCTATTGCCAGTACCCTCCAGGTCTTCCTTACCTGCACCTCACAGATACACACACAGACAATCCCATCCACGTGACATATCCTCGGGCTCGGAGTGCATAAAGCCACAAGGCGGGGCTAGGGTGCAGCGAGAATGCCAGGCATCTCTCCTCCAGGTTAACCACCTAAATCAGACTGGCAGAGAGTCCTAGGAAGGCCAGGCTGCAGCCTTGGCAGGGCCCCGGGCCACTGCAGCCCTGGATGGGCAGCCATGCCTGTGGACCCAGCAGGCCCCAGACCCTGGCTCTGTCTCTGCTCTTCAAGAGAATCAGCCCGAGCTCCCTGCAGAGGTGACAGGCTCAGGAGGATCCTGGGGACCAAGGGCTAAGGAAACTGGAGAGCAGAAGGGGACATCCAAGGCAGAGACATAGGAGCAGAGGGGCTTGGAGGGGAAAGTCCTGGCCTCCAGGGCTTTACAGGGACAGGGGACTGGGAGGGCTATATGCAAGAATGTCTTTTCCTGCAGTTTCTCCTCTCTTCCCATCCCCCAGCTGAGGAGAGCGCCCCCAACCATGGCTGCCAGAGCCCCAGCCCAGCCTCCCAAGATGGGGAGGAGGAAAAGGAGGGGGCTGTCTTCCCAGAGAGGACGGTCCCCACCAGGAATGCTAAGGTGAGAGCCAGCAAGGCGTTGGGGAGGGAACTTTGATGAAGCAAAAGGACAAACTAACTGACCCAGCCTCCTTCTTTGCCAGCTGCAGGACCCTCCATTAGCTCTGAAGCCCCCCAAGCCTGTGGCTGTGCCCAGGGGCCGCCGGCCCCCACAGGAGCCAGGGGGCCGGGAGGAGGTCGAGACTGGGGGTGCAGCCCCAGGAATGAACACACCCCGGCTGAGGCTGGGCTCACAGCAAGACCAAGAGGAGCCTGAGATCCAAGGTGTGCCACCTGGCTAGAGGGGCTGTGGGGCACCTCTGGGGCCTTGCTGCTCCCCCACCCCCAGGTCCCTTCCTGGGCACAGGATGAGTGGCAGACAACCAGGAGCCATGGCCTGGGTGAGCGCCCAGCCTGGGAGCCCTACTCACATGCCAGGCCTGCCTTGACTGTCATTGCAGGGCCCCCAGATCCAGGCCGCCGGACTGCCCCCCTGAAGCCTAAGCGGACACGGCGGGCGCAGTCCTGTGACAAGCTGGAACCTGACAGAAGACGGCCCCCTGACCCCACAGGTGCCAGAGGGGCGGTGAGAGGGTGGTCCCCCTGCCCACCCATCCATCTGACGCATCGCCCCCACAAGGAGTGGCTGGCTCTCCTTGCCGGGGAGACAGGGTTCCCTGGATTTTCCCAGCAGGAACCAGTGAGCCGGGAACAGACTGACAGCCGCACCCTCCCCAGCCCTCCTCGCGACATGTGCCTCACAAGGACTCCGACCCCCACCCGCCCCCACACCTCCAAGCCCCTCTGCCAGCCCCTGTCCCAGGGGCGCAGGATGAGGCGTGGGGGAGCAGCCTGGAGAGAGGGAGGCTCTGCTTGCTCTGCAGATCTTAGGGGTGGGGGGTGTCTCCTCTCCTGGGAGGGCAGATGTGTCCCTCTATCCCCAGGGGCTCTCTCTCCACTTGTATAGAATAAAAAAACAAAATCACTGCCTGCCTGAGTCTCTGTTGTCTTCCTCATTCTCTGCTCCTATTCCCCACCAGCTGCTCCCCTTCCCTTAAGCCCCCACAGTGGGGGAAAGTGGGGACCATTCCCCCCAGAGATGGGGCTAGACCTCTAAGGGAAGAGGTGGGAAAGACTGGAGAGCTGCTGGATGGGAGGGGGCTTGGAAGCCCCTAGGCAGGGGGGTGTCATTTGCAGGGTCTGGACTGAGAGCTGGCTGCAGAAGGGGCCAAGGTGGCAGAAACCAGCGTCAGTGTGTGTTGGGCTACAGTGGGATCGGGGAGGTCCTGGTTTCCCAGGAGGAGATCGGGAGCAGTATGCTGTGTGTGTGTGTGTTTATGTACAGTCAGGCTCACTATTGGTGGAATTAAATGGTGGTGTGTCATCCCGGGGGCACCATCAGTAGTCAGAAATCTCAATAGTAGAGTGGCCTGCAGGTGAGCAGAAGTGCCTGTAGCGAGAGAAGATCAATGATTAAAATTAATCGTTTCCCATCAGTGTACTAACAAATCTTGGCATCCAAGATGCTGCTCAAGAGCCTCTTCCTCTGTGAAGCCCTTCCTGATGCCTTCCCCTGACTCATCCAAATTGAACCCTTCCTCTTGTGGCCCATTGCCTCCTCAATAGATGCATACTTTTTGCCTGTCATATCTCAATGCATTTGTTCTGATCATCTCTGTGGGATTTTTGTTCTATATGCACACACCTCCCCGAGGGGCAGGAGCTGTGTCTTAGTCCCCGGTGTAGCCCCAACCCCTGGCACAGTGCCTGGCACCCAGGAGATGCTCAATAAATTATTGCTACCTTAATACAGGAGCAGCTTTGGGGATGGAAAGTGAAGTGCCCTGGTGACCCTTCTGTCATACTCATCCAGACCACCATGTTCCCAGATGTCTTCACGTGCAGCGTCCAGACAATTGCTCCTTTTCCCTGGCCTCACTAGGGAATGACTAATGTCTTATTTGCTCAAGATCTGTTCGTGGCATGGCCCCTCCCACAGGATGTGGCCATATGGGCTGAATCTCAGGTTTGGGGGTAGGTTACGGGCACCAGGAAGATGCCTCCGGAATCAGTCCAGCACATCTGCACACACTGGGAAGCCCCTGTCTTCAGGGGGTTTCGTGACCGGGATGTGACACTGTGTGCTGTTAAGCAACTGTGTCCGTTTCCTTGTCTCCCTGTTAAAAGGTGGAACTTTATATTCTAAAAGCTATGAGGCTCAGCATGATATGTAATGTCCTTTAAGGGACACATGAAGATCTCCATTCTGTTGTATTCAGGTTGGTGGGCGTGAATGAGGGTATGTGTGTGTGTGACAAGTATAGCCCTGTGTTCTTCTGTATGTGACTGCGAATGTCCTTAACAAATGTGATGTGGAGAGGGACGTGAGACCGGGTGTGTCTCCCCGTGCGTCCCCAAGGCTGAAACTGTCATGGTGTCGTGGTAAGTTTATGTGCTGGCACCTGTTTGTGTCAAGATTGTGTGTGAGCCTGTGAGTCGTGGGTGCGTATGTCTCCATCAGCTCCCAGCGTGAATGTGTGTGGTGTGCACGCACCACCGCAATGTGTGCCTCTCTGTGATGCTGGGTGTGGGTGTGGCAGGAGGGGAAGATGTATGTCACTGTGTCTGCGGGGGTCCTGCCTCCGAGCCACCCTCAGCCCGCCCTCCTCCCCTGGCTCCGTGGCTCCCTCCCAAGCAGTGGCCCTGCCCCCCTTCTCCCTCCCAACCAGTCTGTGCAGGGTGGGGGAGCTGGTGCTTCGGCCCCCCCACCCCTCCCCATCCAGGCCCCATAAATAGCAGCAGAGCCGGAGCCGGAGCCGGCGCCAGCGGCTGGAGCAGCAAGGGAGTCAGGGCCAGGGCCAGAGAGCCGGAGAGAGGAGCCCCCGACTAGAGCCCAGGTGAGCCCACCCTTCACCCCTCGCCCAGCCCCAGCCCAGCCCAAGCCTGGCCCAGTCTCCATAACAACATTGCCCCCAGCCTCCAGAGAGGTCTCCAGTCCTGCCCAATACCCTCACCATCACATGCTCCTGCCCGACTCAGGGGATCTGTGGGAACTGGGAGACTTGTGGCTAGAAGGCAGAGCCCACGCCCCCCCAACCCAGACCCTCCCTCACGTATCCAGAAAGGGACACGCTGTGGGGAGGGGGTACCCAGCCAGGGAAGGGTCCCAGTTCTGAGGGAGATACAGGAACTGTCACAACCTCCTGAAGACAGACACCCGACTAGGGGATAGACACGGGGTGGGGGCATTCAGACACACCAACGTATACTCGCCGGGGAAGCACGACATGAGATCAGACAGCCTCACCCTGAGAAGTGGACAGACACAGAGAGATGGATGGACCGGCCATGAACTCGGGCCAGCGTACCCCTGCATGCTGCTGCCCGAAGCTTGGTACTGTTGGGGGAGGGTGGCGTGCGTGCATCCCACGGGCAGCATGGAGGGGGCCGAGGCTCCCCAAAAATCCTGTCGCTAAGAGACAGCGCCAGTGCTGCCAAGAAGTGTGAGAACAAGGGAGGTGGGGAGGAAAGCCAGTGTTGTCATAGTGGGAGCCACTGCCAGGAACCTAGAGGAGATTTCAGCAGGGGCCGAGCTCTGCTTCTCTGCAAGCCCACCACCCCTCCCTTTCCATCAGCCAACCAGAAGGTGAGTCGGGGGAGGTGGATGGGGACAGCCCTGCAGGGCACCTTCCAACCTGTCTTCTCCTGCCCACTGCAGCCTCCATTCCTGACTATCCTCTTCAGACTTTGCCGGGGCCCCCTCCACTCCCCTCCCCACCCCCTTGCCCCAGTTCAGCTTCCTCAAGCCAAGACTGAGTGCAGCGCTGGCTCAAACATTAGTCGGGAAATAGCAGAAGGTGCTGATGTAGCAGAAAGTGTGGATCAATCGATTGCCTAGGAACCAAGGCTGCCAGGAACCCCCAAGCCCTCTCCAGCCCCATCCACGCATACAAGGCCAGCAGAGGTGACAAGAGGACTCCCTGGGCTGTGCAAGAGTGAGAGGCTCAGAGCTCAGGGCGAGCCGAGTGAGGCCAGGGGGATGAAGATCCCGAGATGCCAGGGCCTCAGGAAGCAGGGCAAGGAGGTGGGGCCCGGGCTCCCAGAGACAGACCCCTCCTCTGGCAGGTGTCCCCCTTCCAGTGACCAGGGTCTGCTCTGTCCCCGCAGAGACATGTCCGGCCCAGAGATGGCCTGGGTGCCCGAGCCCCCAGCCATGACGCTGGGGGCCTCGAGAGTGGAGCTGCGGGTGTCCTGCCACGGCCTCCTCGACCGAGACACACTCACCAAGCCCCACCCCTGTGTGCTGCTCAAGCTCCACTCCGATGAGCAGTGGGTGGAGGTGAGAGTGGCCGGCCTCTCTTTCACGGACCTCCGGGACTGAGAGGGAGGAGGCTGGGTGGGGGCAGCCACGGGGGACGGTCAGGACTCTCAGGGGCCTCTTCCAGTCTGGGTGGGCAACCCTAGAGATGCGGGTGCCATCAAAACACACACAAAGCATTTCACAGGGACCAAAGTTCACAGGGTCCTATGGGGTCCTGAGATGGCCCCAAAGGCAGTGGCGCTGCTTCCAAATATGAGAGCCCCAGAGGGCTGATGGTCCCAGGGGCAGGCAGCACCCTAAGCTCCCAGGGAGGGAGGAGCCAGTCTCTGGGGCACGGGAACCTGAGGAAAGCTGGCAAGACCGGGGGCAGTCCAGGACAGAGCAAAGCAACCTGGGTTCCCAGAGGTGGGCTCCCCTCATGCCGCAGGTGGAGCGCACAGAGGTGCTGCGCTCCTGCTCCAGCCCCGTCTTCTCCCGGGTGCTGGCCCTGGAGTACTTCTTCGAGGAGAAGCAGCCCCTGCAGTTCCACGTGTTTGACGCCGAGGATGGATCCACCAGTCCCCGCAACGACACCTTCCTCGGCTCCACCGAGTGCACCTTGGGGCAGGTCTGCGTTCCCACCCCCACCCCCGCGGTTCTGCCTCCGGAAACCGAAAGAAGACAGAATAAGCTGTGGAGTTAGTTCAGTTGGGGGGCTGGATCCCATCTCCGCCATTCACCCGCTGTGCAGCCTTGGGCTACATATCTAACCTCTCTGAGTCTTAGTTTCCTTATCTAAACAATGAGGGATCACAGTGCCGATCTCTTAAGGTTGCTATGGAAATTAAGTCCAATTCTAGCCCAAGTGCAGCCCCTGTGAGCGATCAAAGGGCGCTTATTAACCTGTCCCTTGTACCCTGGCCAAAGCAGGTGGGGGTGTCACAGCTGGGTCTCCCTCCAACTCCATCCCCAGATCGTGTCACAAACCAAGGTCACTAAGCCTCTGCTACTGAAGAATGGGAAGAACGCGGGCAAGTCCACAATTACGGTAGGCAAGGTCACTGGTACTCACCCGTGGGCAGGGCATTCAACAACCCTGCAGGGACAACCATGGTGACATCCTGCCCCCAGGGCTGGCCCCCACCTAAGGGAAAGGGCTTTGTGGGGGTGGCATGGGGGAATCCTGCCACTTGTGTCCCCCTTGCAGATTGTGGCCGAAGAGGTATCTGGCACCAACGACTATGTGCAGCTCACCTTCAGAGCCCACAAGCTAGACAACAAGGTTGGAACCCCAGAGTTTAGGCCCCCATCTCCACTGTTAGGAAGCCTAACCCTCAGGGTTAGCCGCCTCCCCTTCAGACCTCACCAGGCTCAGGGACCCTTTCCCCTGCGTCTCCAGGACCTGTTCAGCAAGTCTGACCCTTTCATGGAGATCTATAAGACCAACGGGGACCAGAGCGACCAGCTGGTCTGGAGGACGGAGGTGGGTGCCTGAGGCTGTGGGGAAGGCAAGAGGAAAGGCAGAATACGTGAACCTAGATTGGCGGTGACCAGCGCTATGTGCCTCTCCAAGGTGGTGAAGAACAATCTGAACCCCAGCTGGGAGCCGTTCCGTCTGTCCCTGCACTCCTTGTGCAGCTGTGATATCCACCGGCCTCTCAAGGTGAGGCCCCACGAGTAAGGGCAGCCTGGTAGAGCATCCAGCCTCTGCCTGAGACCGTCCACCTGAGGGTGCGGGCCCCTCCCTCTCCCCCTTTCCCACTGTGGGATAAAGAACCAGTCACAGCTCAATGTTCCTATATCAATGTAGCTTCTATCAGAGGCCAAGTCCCAACCAGACTGAGCCAAAGGATGAAGTTCAGCAAGTGGCTTCCCTGGACAGGTTGAGGACATCTGTTTGGGCCTAGTGACAGTTAGGGCCCTACTTCCCTGAGTCCCTCCTCCTGCCACCACTGAACCACTGCAAAGCCTCTCTGATCCTGACCCCCATCCCTGTTTCCCCTTGCCTTTTCAGTTCCTGGTGTATGACTATGACTCCAGTGGGAAGCACGACTTCATTGGCGAGTTCACCAGCACCTTCCAGGAGATGCAGGAAGGAACAGCAAACCCTGGGCAGGAGGTACTGCAAAGAACCCCCTCCCCAAGAATCCCAACAAGATCCCTAGGAAAATCCTGAAGGAGATGATGAACAGCCCCTCACACGCAATAGGAGGTGGAGAGGGTGGGAAACTCAAGGCTCAGCCTAAGGACTGAGCCATGAGGGTCCTGCTCTGGGAGGCTCCACTGCAAGGGGGAGGAAAGGTCACATGATGAGCCCCTGGGCTTGTGGGGTATGTGGGGTCTAGATGCAGTGGGACTGTATCAACCCCAAGTACCGGGACAAGAAGAAGAATTACAAGAGCTCAGGGACCGTAGTGCTGGCCCAGTGCACGGTAAGCAAGCCCTTCCCCACCCCCCACAACCCCATGGCAACCTCAAATTCAACCTTGCCCTCATTACAAAGAGCATTTCCCTGCTCCTGGGACCCGAGAACCCTCATCCTATCCACCACCAACTTCAACCTCAAAAACTCTGGCCCCTCCATTTCCCCTGCAGAAGCCCCATCCAGCTCCCTCCTCAAGGGACCAGCATTCCACCTTATCTCCCCTCTTCCCACCAGGTGGAGAAGGTGCACACTTTCCTGGATTACATCATGGGGGGCTGCCAGATCAGCTTCACGGTAAAGGTCTGGGGGTGGGGAGGTAGCCAAGGGGGCGGGGCCAGGCCCTGATGGACAGAGGAGCCCAGAATCCACATTGCCCTTACTTGGACCTCTAACAAGCCTTAGCATGGTCAGCTTGTTCCCCTCACCCGACTCCAAGATGAGGCTACCTGGGGGCTTGCTCAGATTCCCCTTAGTCCTCCCTAGAGACCCTAGCTCTGACCTAGGCCCCCTGGCGGCTCTCACGGATGCAGCATATCCTCTCCCCATCTGCACCAGGTGGCAATCGACTTCACAGCCTCCAATGGGGACCCAAGGAGCAGCCAGTCCCTGCACTGCCTGAGTCCCCGCCAGCCCAACCACTACCTGCAGGCCTTGCGTGCAGTGGGAGGCATCTGCCAGGACTACGACAGGTAGCAGGAGATGGGGTGGGGGATGGACTGGGATGCCTTGCCCGATGGGCCCCCATAGCCTCTTCTTCTCCCCAGTGACAAGCGGTTCCCAGCATTTGGCTTTGGAGCTCGAATCCCACCCAACTTCGAGGTAGGCTGGGCAAGGGTAGGAGAGGAGATGCTGGGAGACTCAGACAGGAAGGAAAAACATCCGCTGGCTGGCCTCACCTTCCCCTCACAGGTGTCCCATGACTTTGCTATCAACTTTGACCCAGAAAATCCTGAATGTGAAGGTAAGAAAGGAGATTCCCACCAGCCTTGCCTCCCTTCATTACAGCTTGCTGCCCACTCCTGTGCACCCCATGCAGGAGCACACCATTCCCTTGGGCCCAGCCCCCTGCCCCTTCATGGCTCCAGTGTCTGCATGCATTTGGTAAGACTTTCAGCCCCTGACCAGATATCCACCCACCCAACTCTACCAGCACCTGAACCATCCAACTCTCCTGCTTAGTGAGGATCATGGTGGCAGGGCAGTCCTGAGACAAGGAAATGCCTCCTTACTTTAGGGAGTCTGGAAGAGCTCCCTGCTAATCTCTGCGCTCTCACCTCTTTGCCCACAGAGATCTCAGGGGTCATTGCCTCCTACCGCCGTTGCCTGCCCCAGATCCAGCTCTATGGCCCCACCAACGTGGCCCCCATCATCAACCGCGTGGCGGAGCCAGCTCAGCGGGAGCAGAGCACTGGCCAAGCCACGGTTAGGTGTCCTGGAGCTGGAGCCGGGGGTGGGGGTGGGGGGCGGGGCGCGCCAAGGCCGCAGAGCTGACCCTTCCCCCGCTCTGTCTGTCCTCAGAAGTACTCGGTGCTGCTGGTGCTCACGGACGGTGTGGTGAGCGACATGGCTGAGACCCGCACCGCCATCGTGCGCGCCTCCCGCCTGCCCATGTCCATCATCATTGTGGGCGTGGGCAATGCCGATTTCTCTGACATGAGACTGCTGGACGGCGACGATGGTACCTTGCGCTGCCCCCGAGGGGTGCCCGCGGCTCGCGACATCGTCCAGTTCGTGCCGTTCCGGGACTTCAAGGACGTGAGTGCCCGGAGCCCCCTCCCGGCCGAAGGGCTCCTCAGCTCCTCCTGCCCTCCAGATCTGACCCGTCTCTCCCACCTGATTGATGTCCCACGAAAGACGCGGGAATCCAGCTGGCCACCCGAAGCTCCGCCCCTCACCTGAGCCCCGCCTTCCCTCACTCTACCTCCCCTAACCACTTTCCCACCCCAACCCCGACCCAGGCCTCACCCTCTGCGCTAGCAAAGTGTGTCCTGGCCGAGGTGCCCCGGCAGGTGGTGGAGTACTACGCCAGCCAGGGCATCAGCCCCGGGCCCCCCAGGCCCTGCACGCCAGCCACGACCCCCAGCCCTAGCCCGTGACTGCCGACAACCTGACGGACACTCCCTCAGTCTCTCAGTGAGTCCTGGGACATTAGAGGGTGGGGCTTGGTGGGGTCCATCTGGGCTGGGAGTGTGGCGTAGAAGAGGGTGCTTATGACTATCCCACTCTCCCCCAGGTGCCTGTTCTGACCCTTGTGACTCAAGAGACCATGCCTCTCCCTCTTGGACCAGGTGTGCCCTCTGGGTCCCGGAAGTGAGTGGTGAGCCCCACCCCATCTCTCCAGGCCCCAGACTCCTCAGCCTCATGTCCCCTCGGTGACTTTCTTCAGTGATCCTGACTTTCTGGCCATTAATAAAGGGAAGCACTCCTAGCACCTCACTCAGCCTGTACCCATCATGTGTCAGATGCCCATTGGGCCGTCCATAACACCCCACACACACCATTAAGAAATGGGGACCAGGACCTTTTGAACTATGAGCCAGAGATCCCCAGGCAGTCCGGTATCTGCAGTTTTATCCCAACTATGTGTGAATGAGATCTGAGGAGTCCCTACCCTCACCTCGCAACTCTGGGGGGGGTTGTGGAGGGGGGTTAGCCCAGGCTCCCTGGTGGCTAATTACCAGACATGGAAGGGTAATAAGGGGCTGTCAAAGGGGCAAGTTGATGCCCTCTTAAGCTGTCTCCAGAGAATCCTAGCTGAGCCCCCCAGGGGCTGAACGCCAGCCCCCACACAGCTGTGGGGCGGGCTGAGAAGGGGGGAGTAGGGGACTGAAGGAGGGCAGCAGGTCTGCTAGTGAATTATGAATACAGAGGGGGTATCTAAGGTCTGTGCAACCTGATTTTCCTGGTGCATGAATGTGTGTGTGTGTGTGTGTGTGTTCATGAACTGCATAAGCCTTTAGTGGTTCAGAAGTCCAGCTGTGTATATTTTTTGTTGTTGTGCCTCAAGGTTTGTGGGATCTTAGTTCCAGAAATTGAACCCAGACCCCCACAGTGAAAGCTCTGAGTCCTAACCACTGAACTGCCAGGGAATCCCCTGTGTACTCTTTATAATATGGACAACAAACATTGCCATTTAGCACATGTGAAGCTTTGTGTTTAGTGCTTTAAATGTGTTCACTCTCACTAGGTAGTTACCATTATCTTCCCCATTTTCCTGACAAAACAAATGAGGCTTGACTGAAGCTTACCTATAGTCAAAGAAGAACTAATAGGCCTAGAACTTGAGTCTGGACCCATATGAATAAAGGGCCCACACTCAATCATAAATGTGCAACTTCCATTTGTGGTGTACCCATGTGACCCACTTGTGACCCAAGTGTGTGTAAACATGGCCCAGTTATGTGTATGGGAGTAGATGCCTATGGATGGGTGTCTCTGCCCTTACGTGTGTTGTGCAGGGCCTCAGCCAGTTAAAGAAGGCAGGCATGAATGGTGGCGGGTCTAGATCACAGCTGCAGAGAACACATGAGGATCCGGGGAATAGCCAGAGTGACAGGAGAAGAGTCGGGCTCCTAGAAGGACCTTCCCTGCCCCAGTCTCTCCCTTCAAGGGTGCCAGTGGAAGGGGATGGAGGAGGAGGTGCTCAAGGTGCCATGAGCCACTCATAGAGGAAACAGAGCCCAAGAGGGTGACCAGTGGTCAGTGGTGGGAAATGAGAAGAGAAAGAAAATTCTGGTGGAGATGGAGGAGAGGACTCTCATCGCAGGCTCCTGAGTGGAGGAGGGATGAGTTGGGCTAGAACTAGAGGATGGGAGGAGGGAACAAGAACAGGGATGGGAAGAGACAGCTGGGGAGGGGGCGAGTAGAGGGGGCAGAAAGGAAGAGAGACATATGGGAGCTTCTTCCCCCACACCCAACTGCTTCTCTCCATTTATTATATGTCCCTGAGAGGACCTACCACTGCTGCTAAGGTAACTGTTCCCAGGCCAATGCCTCTGCTCTGCCCAGAGCCCTGCCCACTCTCTGTAGGTTGCTGAACCTGAGGGCTGGGTTACCATGGCAACTATGAGCCATCAGGATAGCCACAGGCAGGCCTGAGTGGGTCACTACTGTTCTTGGGCTTCTATGCAGTGGAGGGGGGAGCCGGAGGGTCTATCTGGTCCAATCCCCACCCCCCCACCCCCATTTCCATTGGGCCTTAGAACTGTGATGCTCCACTCAGCCCAGGTGGGGGCTATCCAATCTCTTCCTCCACACCACACTTTGTATCTCTCTCTCTCTCATTCTCTCTCTCTCACACACACATATGCACACACACACTTACATAGGCCTGGAGCAAGGATATAGAATAAACACTTCTTAAATTGCAAGAACATCTAGCCAATAGCATATGGTTGTGCCTATACTTCAAGTTTAATTCACAAAAGCTGCATTCTCTCAGCTCCTTGACAGGCTGGGGAAAATCTCACCTTTGCCCTCAAAGAGGCAGAAGGGAACAGGGGCACCCTATGCAGATCTGGAGGCCAAGGCCGCACGGAAGGAGCAACCCAGAGCCAGTGCATGGTCTCATCCAGGGCCTAGGCTGCAGTCAGGAAGCTGGAACAGGGCAGGAAGTCCCTTTAATGAGGCTAAGTTGAGGGATTCTCGGGGAGACCCCTGGGGCTTCCACACTATGGAGAGACCAGAACTGGAAAGGTGTCAGAAGTCATCCAATCAAGTGAGCATTAGACGAAGTCGTCAAAATCCAGGGAGCCAGTGATTTGCTCAAGATGTCAGAGGTATCCTGTGGCAGAGCTGAGACTAGCACCCAGGTTTTCAGACTCCTGCTCAGGGTCCTCTCCCAGCCCATACCTACCACCCCTGGAGCTCCTCCAGCCTTTGCTGCTCTAGACCTTGGAGGCCATGGGGTTGGCTAGGACAAAAGCCTCTTGAGTCAAGTTTCTGGTCTGTCTTGAAAAAGGGAATTGAAATCTTGAAAATGCAGTTGTCCTAAAATGGGGAGGTTACAAGCCCTGGAATGAAAACATAGCTTCATTGCTAATTACCACCTTTCTGCACTACAGGTTGAAAGCCTTGAATTAAAATCTAAACTGATCTGGGAGCAGCAGGACTCCCTCACCTCCCATTCACTGTGCGTTGTCCACACCTCCTTGCGGCCTGCCCCCTACCCAAAGCCTGGCACTGACCCCCGCAGATTTCAGTGACCTGGTCCTATAGAGTGGGGCAGAAGGTGAACGGTTTCTGTGCACGTCCTGCGTGAGGGAAGGGGACCCCTCTCCCAGGAAATGACCGGTGTCTAACCTCAGAGCATGCCTTGAGGGTCCAGGAAGTTTGGGGATACTTGTGTGGTCATCCAAAGGAGTATCTGGCACCAGAAGACGCTCAGTAACCATCTAGTGAATGGCACAGCCGCCTCCCGGGTGGTGCGCACCGCCCGCCCACCGACTCCACCACTCGGTGGCCAGGGGCTCAGAGGAAGAGGTGGGCGTGGCCTCCGGCCCCAGGCCACTCGGGGCCAGCAGTTCACAGCGAGCCTTGTAGAGGTCGCGTTCCCTAGCCAGGCGGGCCACTTCCGCCCGCAGCGCGTCCAGCTGGGTGGCCAGGCGGGCGCGCTCCGCCTCCAGCCCCCGCCGCTGTTGCAGTCGCTTGGACCGACAGGCTTGCGCGTACCCGCGGTTCTTCAGCGTGCGGCGCCTCTGCTTCAGCCGCAGCGCCTCGTCGCGCCCGCAGCCCCGCAGCTGTCGGTTTAGCTCCCGCACAGACATCGACACCAGCGCCGCGTCGGAAAACCGCTCGGCCAGCTGCAGAGAGAACCGACCGGGCGCCCGCCGGTCAGCAGGGCTCCCGCCTGGTTCCACTCTCCGGTGGCCCCGCCCCCGGCTTCCACCTTTACCTGAACTTGCGCCTTCCCCTGAGTCTATCCTGCAGCCTAGATCCTGTTCCAGGTCCCAACACGCCCTCCACTGCCCTCCACCATCACCAAGGGTCCTTGACCCCTTTGGGTGGTCCCCACGTTTCCCACCCACCTTCGGGCAAGCCAATCGCGTGCCTGAACCCCACACCGCCTTTGCGGGGTCTTGAGCGGGCTCCTGGCCTATGTGTGTACCGGGACAGACAAACCCGGCCCCTCCAACACACCTCGCTCCCCTGTCCTCCAACACACCCCGCTCCTCAACCCTGTGACCCTCAAAGGATTTGGATTATATCTTAATGCCCTCAACGCCCCCATCTGTCTATGATTAATAGGATGAGTCCCAATCCTTCCTGAGAAGGTTGGGGGCTGGAGAAGCACGAAGTCTTAAAAAGACCAACTTCATTCCGGTTCCTACAGTCTCAACTCCACTCCATTCCACGCACAACCCTTTCCTGGTATTTCTATACCTGGTATCTATTTACCTGGCATCTATAAACGCAGTATCTATATACCTGCCCGTAATCAATCATTCCTGATGCCCTTTAACTCTCAACTCTCCCCTTTCAGTTGGTCCTCTTCTAACCTTGTCTTCTATCTCTTCCTCCTTCCTGGTTGAGCCTACCCATTTCTCTCTATTGAGGGGTGCGGGGCGCAGAACAATAGTTGTCTTTATCTGATGTCTTCTAAAGGTACTTCCCTTCTCCTGTCTGTTCCTTCCCCAAACTGGTAAGGCTCTCCAGGGACTCCCCTTCCTCTCTTCCTCCCCTCTCACCCTGCCCCCTCCTCTGGCCCTCTTGTTGACCACTCACCTGGGCATGCTGGGCTCCTGTCTCCTCTGGGCTCCCTGGGTAGTAGGCATGGGGCCCTTCAACAGGAACTGGGCTCTGACCCTGCAGCAGCTCCACAGCCTCCTCAGGACTTAGCCCCAGCACCTCCCCAGCCCCCAGCTGCTGTTGCAGGGTGGCCAGCCAGTACAGCTCCTCCAGGCCTGCCCGGGTGCCCTCGGTGGGCCCCACCATGCCTGGCTCACTGAAGGTGGGTGAAGGAGGCACTGAGCTGTAAGGGGTGGAGCCCAGTGAGGCTGTTGGGGGGCCAGATCGCCCCTCTGAGGGCTCCCGCTTTACCTCAAACTTCATCAAGTCAAAGTCATTGACATATTCCATGGCCAGGGGACTGGGAGGC